GGATAATATAATATCTACATAAGATCAAATTATAACTAAATAGTATAACATAACACCTACATAAGATCAACTTTAACCCTATTTAGTTATAATTTAGTTCGTTATAGTTGTTAAAGGTTATATTATCTTATAAAATCAGTTATTAACAGAGATTGCCTAGGTTGTTAACAACTCTCATTGGGTTATTAATACTCACCGCTGAGGTTGTCAATGGATCTTCGCATTAAAATTTTGCTATAATCCTATTAGGTTTAATTGAAATTCTTAATGGTTTTGAACAGCTTTCTATTTCAGTGTTAAAGTTGTTATATTATACCATTTAGTTATAATTTACTCTTATATGTAGGTTATGTGATCCTATAAAGTTGTCAATGGATACTGTTTTGGTTGTTAACACCTTCTCATTAAGTTGTTTATAGTCATTGTTGAGGTTAACAATCACAATGGTAAAGAAAATATGAATTGGGAATATAAGGAGCAGTAATGTCATTTTACAATTAGAATATAATACTCTAAGATCCATTGGGACCTGCTTGTAATTTTGACATTTCGTGAGACTTTAGATGGATAAAATCTCTTCCTTGGGACCTGTGCGTAGTTTTTTCTTCTTGTTTTTTTTTTCCTTTTAACCTTTTACATGTCCTGAAAGTTTATTTACTCACGTAGCCGAAATACCCTGATTATTATCTGCTATTAAGTTTGACTGTTAAATTTTGAGATTTAACCAGTATCTTTAATAGTCAAACCAAATAAGGATAACATTGCAAGACAAAAATATTATGAAATAAAACTTTCAGAAAATTTAAGAGTAAAAAAAATTACAAATGTTGAGTATTCCTTCGTGAATACTCTTGGAATATTTAATTAATCACCTTGTCCCACAGATAAATTTTTTGGGCCTTTTTTAATGTTTTTTATTTTTCCACTTAACATCTTTGTCTTTCATCATTTAAAAGGAAAAAAAAAATCCAAACTGATATTTATTATTAATAATTAATATAGGGGTGATCCAGGTGGGCGCTGGCCCAGACAACGAAGACGGCAAGATTATTGTTCTAACATGTAGGAGTGAGCAGCTAATTATTACTCTTGGATTTTTTAATATAAAATCTAATTGTTAAGTTAATTTTAGTTTAAAATATAAAACTTATCTATCATATTTATTAATTTTTTTAAATTACTCTTATTGATCCTCTCAATCGGGAGGAAAGATGCTAAAAAAAATGATTATAGTATTTTAAAAAAAATATGTCATACTCCTTATAATTAACTAACTTTCTTAACTTCTTCAATTTAATGAAATTAAATAAATATATCTTGCACTAAAAACTAAAGGAGTATTTTTTTAATTAGTTTGAAGGAAATCTGTTTTCACTGACTAATCCACCACTCAGCTTCATTCCGTGCAAAATTTGATTTCAACTTCTTTGCCTTTCTCCTTTTTGCTAAGCAAAGGAATTTTCTATTCTTACTTCAGCTCCTTTGAAAGCCGGGTGGTTCCATGCATTTCTATAAAGTATGAGATTAATAAGTTTACTTAACTAACTAATTTGAGTATATTAATAAAATTAATTAAGTTTTTTTGCAACAAATATAAATTAATTTTCTTAAAACATCATTTTTAATCATGACTACCTTTAGATGCAAACCTGTTGGCATGTATAATCAATAGGAATACTTTAAAGAATGAATTATAAATTTAAAAGACAAAATAGATTGAGGTATTATATTTATGACCACATTCAATTCCCAATTAGCCTTTATATTAAGGAGCGGATGTAGCATTATTTAATATTTATATTAATAATATAATACTACTTCTTATCCTTAATATAAAAATTAGTTGGGGGTTGAATTTGACTCTAAATAAAATATCTCAATCTACTTTGTCTTTTTTTTTTAAATATCCCTATTAATTGTAAGAGGTTTCTCACCAAAAATTATTCCAATATACATGATTAAAGAGTATTATAGCTTAAGAAAGCTAACACACATTTATGACAAATAAACAAGTTAATTGATTTTTTTAGTATTTATAAATAAGTTATCTATCTCTTATATTAAAGATCGGAGATAATATTAATTACTCTTCGAAGCAAAAGTGTTTTTAAGCTACCTTGCACGCCTTCTAATTGATGTTTTGAAAATCGAACGGAATATTCAGCTAGAAATGTTAATGTTTCACGGTTCATATATTTTAACCAGTCGGACTAGCAATTGAGCTAGTAACATAATAATTAAATAAAAGTTTAATAAAAAGAATAATTATTTGCATATACAATAATATATAAAAGAAATAATTTTAATGGACAATATAGACAATATATGGAGTTTTGAGTTAAACAACTAACGCTATGAGGCGACAAATGATCTAAAAATATATTGAATTTTTTCAATGGTCAACTTTTTGTATATTTTATAGGTTTATTAATTTATTTCAGTACTTTTTATATCACACCAAAAAAAGATCATTTGGTTTTCTAAAAACCGTTTCAATTCTCCGTCTAACTGTGATTCCGATTTAATGGTAGCTCAACTTAGGTCCAATCCGGTTCAACCTTAAAAACCATTTTTGGATCTAAATCGAGGTGTTAGTAAGTTTGATTGACAGTCTAATTAGTTGAACTGTTTGATCCGATTCATTAATCACTACTTCTACTCTAATGTGCTAATTTGTTTAGGGATACCTTTGGAACTTCCGTGGCCCTGTATGAATACAGTGGACGATATTCACCTTAAAATGCGGAACCACATCACACTCATCGTGACTTCTAAACATCCAGCTTCCGTTTTCTTTTGTATTTCTTAATCAATCATGCATGTGAATGGAGTACGCGTCTAAAGGCAATGATTTTTTTTTTTTTTTGGGATGGAATGAATAAAGGCAATGATTTTAAACACAAATCAAATGGAGAATACGATTTAAAATAAAATTATTATTATTATTACTATTATTATTATTATTATTATTATTATTATTATTATTATTATTATTATTATTATTATGCATAATAAAATATACTGCTCTGGTAGTTAATATAAGCTACTTGAACACATTTTCGCATGTTAAGAATTGTATTAAATTTACAAAAAATTTTAATTTTACTCATACTAAAATTCTCTCCCCCCCCCCCCACATTTACAAACAAAGTTCACTTTTTTCTCTTCTTTCTCTCTTTTTATTGAGAATTAAATAAAAGTAAAATTAGAAATTAAGCATTAAATAAGTAACAAACATTTAAGACCAAAACTTTCCCCATAAGCAATTGATATTTAGGATCGGAGTTTAACAATTCATTCATGGTAACCTGGAGGAGATGAGATTTATGTGACTTTTTTTATAAATTTTTTTTATCAGCTGCCGGTATAATACTATGGTTATTGGGGAATTTCCTCGTCTAATTTTATTTATAAGACAATTCTAGTATATTTCATCTTTTTTGTTTTTTGCCAGCATTCTAGAAGAGAAACCTCAAGCCTTGTTAATTGTGCCATCAATTTTAATAATTTTTAAATTTTATCTTTATTTAATATACACTATATCCTATAAAAATTTATATAATAATAAATGGAGGTTAAAATTGTATATTTATCTAAAAAATTTAATCATATGACTGATAATAGAACAAAAAAAATCTTCTCTCCTTGCTTTATATAAACAGCACAGAAGAGTGAGAATTAGTTGAGAGTTGAATTTGCTTCTAAGTATAATACACCAATCCACTTTATCTATCATAATTATAATTTTTTCAAAACTCATTTAGTTAACTTATAAATTTATATATAATATAATAATACAAAAAATTATTTTAATGAGATCATATCACATTAAGTTATAATTAACTAATTTATTTGACTTTCTCAATCAACCCAAATTTTAGTAGCTCTTATATTAACTATTAACTACTAGGGGAATTAATTAATATTATCACTACTATATTAAATTTGTTTTTGGCAACCCAAAGTATTTTCCAAACTAATTTATCAGAGTGGCTCTTACATTTTGTATAGTGTATAGGATGAATAGTATTATTTAATATTTATATTGGGGGTTAAGACGTATCACCCTAAAATTTTGTGGTACAATTTTGCTTAAAATATATAAAAAGTGGAGCATGTGAATACGCGTTTGGAGGCGATGAGTTAAAACACAAATTTAGCGGAGAATATTATTCAAAACAAAATTGTTATTAATACAATAATAAAAAAATTACAATTCCTGTCGCCGTAGCCACGAGGGAGATGAGATTCATGTGACTTTTTACATTGTTTGATTAAAATTTGTTTTATTTATCGGGCCCCTATATAATACGTGTGTTTGTAATAATCAATACTCCCTTCGGTCTCTAATATATTCCTCTCACTATATTTGCAAGTCATTTTTAGTTTGTTTCATGAGAAGCAATAAAGAATTTAAACTTTATTAATTCTACCTTAAATTTTTTTTTTTTTAATTCTATCCATATTTAATATATATTATATGTACCTTATGAGAGCAAAGTCTACGCAATAATAAATAAATAAATAAACTATACATTTATCTGAAAATTTTAATAATTTGACTTATAAATAAAATAAAAAGGTATTTTTCATTGTGTCTTAAAAATAGAACTAAAGGAAAAAGAGTTAGTTAAAGGTTAGATTTGGACATTTGGTTCTGAATATACTACATTAACTCACTTTATCTCTCACATTTATAATTTTCTTAAATTAATTATCTAACTTATAAAATGATATATAATCTAATATTACATAGAATTGATTTAAGAAGATCAAATCATATTCTTTTTTTTTTTAATTTATTTGACTTCTTTAGTCTATCCAAATTTTAGTTGTTCTTATATCAGGGAGCTGATGGAAAAATTTATATTATCACAATTCCTATATCAAATTTCTTTTTGGCACTTTTGTCCTTTCCATGCATGCCCTATCTTTATAAATAGGCATCATCCATTACACAATGAAACCCAAAGTTAAGCAAGAAAAAAACCTCGATCTTACCCTCTCCTATCATCGATCATGGCTTCCAAGAAACAAGTTGATCTCATTCTCCTTGTCTCCCTCCTCATACTATCGTCCATCATCATCGTCAAGCCCTCTCATGCCGATGATTGTCCCACAGAAAAAACCGGTGGCAAAATCGCCGTCTACTGGGGACAAAACAGTGAATCCGATGAAGGAAACTTAGCCGAAGCATGCGACGCTGATCTCTACAACACCACCGTCATCGCTTACCTCCATGTCTCCGGCAGCACAAGATACTTAGACTTGAGAGACCACTGTCCTTCCGGCGATTGCACAGTCCTAGCGCCGCAAATTCGTCACTGTCAAAGCAACAAAGGCATCCAAGTCTTTCTTTCCGTTGAAATAGATGCCGTCGATGACCCTATTTCCTTGGCACAGTATCTCTCCGATAACTTTCTCAGCGGCAAATCAGGCCCTCTCGGAGCGGTGGCCTTAGACGGCATCGATATTGCCCACTTCGAATACAGCTCTGAGCCATGGCACAAGCTCGTGGCGGCCATTAGGGCTTCGACCGACAGAAAGATATACATATCAGGAGCCCCATATTGCCATACCACCTTGGACAGCACAATCGAGAAAGGTGATTTTGACTATCTCTGGGTGTTATACTTCGGTGAATGGGCCACATGTGAATATTTAGGAAACGACGACTTCTCAAACCTTCTTGAATCATGGTCCACATGGACGTCGAAGCCAGTTTTAGCTGATACCTTAGTGTTCTTAGGCTTAGTAGCATCAGATGAGCCATCTGCAGCATCCTATGGTTACATACCACCAGAAAAGCTCAAGTCTCAAGTTCTTCCGACCGTGACGGAATCTTCAAACTTCGGAGGAATCATGCTCTGGAACAGGTATTATGATAAGGAAACTGGTTATAGTACTGAGATTAAGGATGCTTTTGGCACGAAGGTTTGTGAATGCGTGTGCCAGGCTGCCGCATCGAGGAGATTTAACAGTCTCTTGGCCAAATCTGTGTAAGATGCATGACACGTACTACATATAAATATATAAATAACAGCAAGCTATAGGCTAGCATGCCAGTGTGCGAGTGTGATGTATGTATGTTTGACTACTACCATGTAATAGCTCTTGCTTTAAATAAAGATCCACTTCTATAATTCTGAGCTTTGAGCAACTGTTCATTGAGTTCTTTTTTCGGATAAAGTAGCATCTCTTACTTATGGTGTATTTAGCACCCTGCTGTTTCTTTCTTTTCTTTTTTTTTTTGTGCTTCTAGCACCTTAATCTTGTTTATAGTACACACAACATTTTAAACTATAAATAAGATTAAGATGCTGAATGTAAAAAAAAAATTTTTGGGGAGCTAAATGCACCAAGAAAATAACATTGATGTATTATAAGTAAAATTAGAATACTGGATGCTCCTAAGAAATAATATCATGAATGCTGCTGTACCACTCTTTTTATTCACTTGAAACACAAACAATTTATATCCAAAGCTTTATATAAATAAAATCCCCTCCTATTCTTTTTTTTTTTTTTAACCAGCCCTCCTCTTGTTAATATATATATATATATAAGTGCTAGAGAGAGGTTATATTTGGCCTAAATATATAACAGAACACTCAATGAAGTTATTAAGTAAAATATTATGATTGACATGTCCAAAGATTTGGTCGTTGATAAAACTAAATGGTGCTGTGCAATCCACTCAACCAATCCCAAGCCACCTAGTTGGATTAAGCTTTGTAGTTGTTGTATAAGGCTCTAGTCCTCTTTATCTTTCATATTATTTTTTCTGAACTAATTTATTTAACTGATAAATTAATATATAATCTAATATTATACAGGGATAATATAATTTAGAGAGATTATATCATACTTGTTATAATTAATAGATTTATTTGACATCCTTAATCTACCTAAATTAATTAATTAGCTCTTATATTATAGACCTTTATTTTTGTATACGCAGGAAATACATATAAAGACTATTTTATTCATAACACAAGGAAAAAAATTATCACTAGCCATCAATTTACGAAAATCTATGTTAATGGCTCCAGTAAACGAAGCATACATTTGAGGATTCAAATCAACCTCAATTAACATAATCCCCTTTAATTATAACTTTTAGATAACTCATAATTCGAAGCTCCCACTCAGTTAAACAATGCATATTTCATACTTATGAATAATGAGATTGATATTTCAATCATATGAAATATATTTCATGCAAAATATATATAATAAAATTTGTATAATACGTATTTTCCTCCAAAACTAGAGAAATATGTTTATTTAATTTTATCAACCAATATATAATTATATAAGAGTTAGTTGACTAATTTAAATAGATTAAGAAAGTTTGTTAAGTTTGTTATTTGTAATAAATAAGTGTTATCTTTCTTAAAATATCCTTTCTAATTATATGTATTAGTTAGAATTACCATTTGATAAAACTTTTAACATGTACAATTACTACAAGGACTATTTTTATTTGAAAAAAATGAATAAATATAAGAGACAAATAAAATTTAGTCTTATATTTAGGACCAAATTAAATATCAAACTAATTTTTATATTAAGGATAAGAGGCAGTATATGCAAAACCATGTAGCTCGCACAACTCCTAATTAAATAACATGATATTGTGAATAAATTTCAACTAGATCGAATTCGGTAGAAAAAGGGGAAACCGAAACCCCACAAAAGAAGAGAGAGATTTATCATCGTTGGCAGTTTCCTATTCGTCCTTGCATGAGTCATCCAATGAAAGGGAGGAAAATGATGTAAGGCCTCCTGTCTTCTAGGTAATGAACAACCTCTTTAAAAATATGTTCTTACCTTAAAATTATGGAGTTTCTATGTTGGACCTTCTCTTTGCTTGATACTCCTCTGATCCTAAATATAAGACTCATTTTATAGTATAATTTAATTTATATTACAAAATAGATCTTATTTTTAAGACCAAAAGAGTATTATCTTTTAATAACATGTCTACTTCCCATAACTGGGGATTTTTTATTTAGGCCTATACTCATCACAACTAGGGAGAGTGATCCACCAACAAGACGAATCACACAATACATCACATAACGGAAGTTTTCTAGAGCCTTGCTCCATAGATACAGTGTAGTTTCAGGTCGGCACCAAAAAAAAAAAATTCAGCGATAATTTTTAGTGTTGTCGTCGAAAGTTTGACACAGTCAAACTTACAGTTAGACTTGCAACAGTGATTCTAAAAGATCACCACTAAAACTAAGATTTCTAGCAACAATATTGGAAGTTCGCCACTGAAAGTCTAAAAGATTATAGACTTTTATCATCAGCATTAGATGTTGTCATTGAAAGCCTGACAAAGTACAGACTTTTCAACACAACATGGTCTTTGATTCTAGACTCTTATAAGAGATTCTTTGATCTTCATCACATAGAAATAGTATCACCCAACTTATCATAGAAGACCCTTAAAATAAATAATCCCATTAATTAATAGGTAAAGTAACATCCAGCACTCTACTTTATTTATAGTGTATCAAGCACCTTTTTCTTTTTTTTTTGGGCACCTCCAGCATGCTAATTTTATCTATAGTACATTCAATTTCTTAAATCATAAATAAGATTAGCATGTTGGACACTGTGTACTAAGAGATACCATTGGAGTGATGGATATTACTTTACCCTTGATTAATTCATACCAATCCACATAATTATTAAGTTTGACAAATTTGATCTGACATTTTGTTCTCATCCATGTGAGTGTATATAGAAGTAGAGTCAAGTCCCGGCGTAAAGCGAAAAAATTGAACCAGCGCTGGATAAATTAAAGAAACAATAAGTCTATACTTTAGGGAGAATTACATCAAAGAACCTACAAGAATTAATCTTTTGCTATTAAAGAAGAATAATAAGTTTTAAGAAATCGCTACAAACAAACAACCGCCACCAAATATTTTCTTTAGTGAATATGGTTTGAAGGAATATGATAACATGTAATAAAACTTTATCAAAAAGACAAAAAGGTTAGTATCGAAGGTTAAATTAAAATGTGATATTGGTTATTAATTAGCTAGATGGCAAAGGGAAAAAATTTGATAATGGCCTGTTAGCTAATCAAAGAACTGAAAATAAGAATCATATGATCCTCGAGCCTTTGGATATTGGTTCCATCCATTTTGTTATATCAGTTTGCGTCAAGGGGGGGACCACGCGCCCTTGGGTTTGGTTACAAATGTCCAATATAATATAACGTCGGATGGACACATATTGGCCAATAACGAAAAGAAATATTAACAATTTTATTATTGGATATTGTTAGACATTGGGCCCAAATCTCCCTTTAATGGGCTGAACTACTTGATCCAAGAGAAGAGAATCTCCCTGATTAAAAAAATCAATCATAAATCAGAAGCAATTAATAATTGATTAGAGAATATTCAATCAAACATTATGTACTTGATTGATTGGAGAGAAATCAATTGGACATTAATTATCGATTGTGGAATCGGAATATTATCCCACAATAAACAAGGAAGATTGCACCTTCCTGAAATAAGGGTCATCCTGACCCTATAAATAGAAGGTGCCTTTACCCATTATTTCACCCCCAATTGTTAAGTTTTCCAGTGTTCTCTTCTCCTCTCTCTGGTGTATCTACTATACCATTCTTATCTATGAGCTACCGGCATCACGACCCGGAATTGACCCGGTATGTTTCCTTTCTCTATTTATATTATTTCCATCATTGGCATCAAAGCCTGCCTAATCCTATGGCTGTGCTTCTTTTACATGTGTTATTTCTTTTTCCTTTTTTTTTTTTTGCTGCTGTTTTTCCCCCTTCATATATCTGTTATTTGCATGAGAAAAAATCACTCTTTTTATAGAACACATGCTTACTAAAATTATGTTTAAATGTGTTTTAAAAATTCTTTCTTTTCTTTTCTCCCTGAAGGGAATGAATTTTTTTTTTTGGCTTCATGCTTCTAATTTATTGCCTTCCTAGTTGCTGAAAGTTTTTCTTTGCTTTTGGTTGTTGCTTTCACATTGACAAAGGTTCTTGTTTTTGGGAAGTTTTAAGTTTCATAAAGCTTTTTTTTTTTAAATGTCTGAATGCAATGAAAGAATGAAACTTTCATAGAAGTTTTGGGGAAATGGGTAAAGCTTTATCACAAACCTAATAGAAACAACCTTTTTCAATGTTTTTCTTTCACCCGAAAATGCTGCCCAACGCTTCTGTATCACGGCCGCAATGTTCATGGAAGAGAACTTTTTTGGTCTCCAAAATCGAGTCCTTTAGTGAAACGCAGCGTACTGGGCTGCTTAGCCCAATAGTCTTTTATTTAAAAAAAAACAGAGGGCCTGGATCCGGTTAAAAAAAGGGTCTTTTTATTAAAAAAAATTTTAATAAATGAAAAAGGGGGAGAGGTGGGTCCACATGCTTATGTGGCATGTGAGACCCACCCCTAAGCCTAATGGTCAACCTAAAAACACCACTATGCTCGTGACGACACGTGGAGTCCAACAAAGTGCTATCCTGAGGCAATGGAGGTCCTCATGATTGCGCATGTATGTCACATGCCATCCTCTGAGAGTGGGCTTCACTGGAATTTTTTCATCTTTCATGAAGTTTTAAATCCTAGGGTGTCTAGGGGTGCGTGAGGGTGCTTGGGAGGTCCTTTTTAGACATAGTTTGATCCAAAAATTTTCTAAATTCATGAGCTTCATATTGATAATGTTGGACATTTTTACAAATAATATGCGTGTTTTTATTGCATTTATCATGTTTTCTAACCTTTTTTTTTGCATTTTTCTCCCTATTTAGTTCTTTTAAAAAATCCCTTAATTGAAAATTCAATATAGTGAGTTATAGGTAAGTCATGGCTAGTCACAATTTCAAGACTTTTCTCTCTTATTCTCTATTATCTCATAACAAAACTGACAATACGAAAAGTGGAGAAGCATGGAGCACTAACAAAAGGGTGAAAGCTTTGTCTGGTCAAGGCTCTAATACCCTCACAGATATAAAAGGCAATAAGGAGGAGCTCTTGCCCGTCAAGGCCACTAACAAAGCAGTGGACAGAGAAACTGACAGAGAATTGATCAAGAAAGTGGCAAAGAGGGACACCTTTGACTATGAATATGTGGGAAATCTGCA